GGCAGAACTTAGACTGATGAACGGCTTTCTCAACTATGGGGTTGTGCTTTTGTCTGGATTTGCTTTTGCGTTTGTTACCTCCATATTACCTGTCAACAACTTATGTGGAGCAAGAGAGGCAAGGTACAGGCAGGGTGGGACATTAGCTCTTACCATAGTAGAAGGGACTGTCTTTATCAAAGAGGTCATTGGCTTCTAAGGCTGGTAGCCTGCTAGCAGTAGAACTCATGTCACTTTTTTTCCATGTCGTAACTCAGGCAGGGCAAGGGCTTGTTTTCTCTGTCTCAGTCGAGGATTACAAATTTGAAGAGGCTTTAACTTTGAAGAGGCTTTAATTTGAAGAGGAAGGTCTGAAAGTACAGTGCAGAGGGCAAATCTGGCTAGGCCACTAGGTCTATTGATGGCCCAGGTGGGTTCAGGCTCTTTAAAAGTCCTGCGCAGGCAACAACACCTGCAGCCAGGGAGGAGACTAGTTCTTTACTTTCTTCCTTCATTTCTTTTTGTTCCATGTAAGTGGTGACCCACAGGTGTATCTTTTTTTTTTTTTTTTAACGAAACACATTGTTTCTTTTCTGTCAATCTTATTTCCACTTTTTAAAAGACAGTTTAAGACTACTCATTGGTTGTTCTGACCCACTCAGGGGCCCGAGCAGTAGGGTCTACAGACCAGTCTGGAACCAGTTAAGGAACTGCTGAATAGATAGAGGGCACCTGCACGCCACGGTCAGATGAGTCTGCAATTTCAGGCTGAGCAGCAGTGAATTTAGGGGCAGGGGCCGGCCATGCTCCCTGAAACTCCTTCTTGGTCACCGCCTTTCAGCAGCAGCCTGTCCTGCCTTTTTAATCTCTTCCGGATCTTTGCAGAAGTACAGATCAGGTGAGGCCTCCCATGGGTGCTCCCGGGAGACTGTGCCACGCGTGCGCAGGACTTCCTGGGCCAGCATCCACCTCATCAGACCCATGGAGTGAGCTCCCTTGTTGTTGCACAGAACAAAATCTGTGTTACACAGGGCAATGGTGGGCAAGTTAACGTAAGATGCTTCTGTCAGAGGCTGGTGGTCAGCCCTGAGATCAGTAACCATCAGAAGACAGGGCTCCCAGAAGGCTGCCTGGATCTGGTTAGTGAAGGTTCCAGGAGTGAAGCGCCCGGCAATAGGAGTGGCCCCAGTAGCAGCAGCAAACTTCAGAACAGCTCTCTGGCCCGTATTTCTGGAGGATATGACACTGACATCAGCTGGATTTTCAGTGGCAACAATGGCACGTGCAGCCAAGAGAAGCTTCTCCCAGGTCCTTTGCAGGTTTATGACATAGATGCCATCACTTTTCCTTTTGTAGATGTACTGTTTCATTTGGAAGTCAAGGTTGGTGCCACCCAAATGTGTTCCTGCTGCAAGGAATTTTTCGAGGACATCCTCCTCTTTCATCTGCAGGACATCAAAGGCTTGGGACATTGTGGAAGTTGCCCCTTTAAGTTACAATGAGAACCAGGACAATGCCTATGGACCCTGGTGGGGGTAGTGTGGAAAGTCCATAGTTGTAACTCATACAATTACTTGCAAGATTTTAAAAGTGCCCTCTCTGCCCAACCTACCACATACCAAAAAAACAGTAAACAAAAACACAAGAGAATATCTTTGTGACCTATCATTGTTAGGTCTTGCTTAGCTGAATCCAACACAGAGAAATCCTGCTTATCTCTTGTAGCATCCTCACAGTCTCTGTTAAGCTTAAACCCATTGCTGCAGCTACTGCATTAACCCATTCAAGCAGGGTGTTCTTTTTCAGGAATTGGCCCTTTCTGACAACATTCCCAAGTCTCACCATCCTCATCTCGGAAGAAAATTCTAACTGCATTTCTTCCAGGACAGACTTGTTTTGTTCTTTTGACAGTCCACAGTATTTTTAATATTCCTTGCCAATCTCACAATTCAAACGTATTGATTTGTCTTTGGTCTTTCCTATTCATTGTTCATCTCTCACAAGCATATGAAAGAACTGAAAATACTTATATGCACACCCATGTTTATCGCGGCTTTGTTCACAATAGCAAGGAGTTGGAAACAACCTAAGTGCCCATCCACAAACAAAACAAAATGGATAGAGAAGCTGTGGTATATTCACACAATGGAATACTATGCTACATTGAAAACCAAGGACCTCATGCAATATTATTCAAAATGGGTGACCCTGGAGGACATTATGCTGAGTGAAGTATCTCAATCACAAAAGGACAAATACTTCATGGTGCCACTGTTGTGAAGCAGGACTGACCTCAGGGTTGGGAGGAGACTGAGAAGGATGGGTTCGATAATGTATACTGCACTGAAACAGAGGAGGGAGAAAACTGTTTAAAAGGAATAAGTGTAGATATTTTTGTCATGACAGGAGTCCAGAGAGAAGGTTGCATAGTGGAGTGGACCTGGGGGGAGGGATGGTAAAACAATGAAAGAATTTTTCTTTTGCTTTTCTAAGAGGGTAGTGTACTAGGGGGGAGGGTTCGGAGGGGAGAAAAGTGCAACAATGAATGAATGGAAACCTAAAGTCTCTGTAAATTTTCATTGAAATGAATAATAAATTTAAAAAATGTAAAAAAAGTTAACAGCTATAGGGGAAAATAAAACAGAATTTCATTCTAAAAAAAAAAAAAAGAACTGAAAATACCATTGCCTGAGTCAGGTGCACCTTAGTCTTTAAAGTGGCATTTTTGTTCTTTAGCATTTTAAAGAGGTTCTTGGTAACCAGTTTGCCAAAGACAAATACATTGATTTCTTGGCTTCTACTTCCATGAGTCTTGATTGTGGCTCCGATAAAAATGAAATTGTTGACAACTTTAATCTTTTCTCTATTTGTCATGATGTGATAAACTATATTATGCTAATTGATTAAGTTGTCCCTGAGACTTATAGTTTAAAGCCTTTTAAGCCAGTAAATAAATTCCATATATTGAAGTAATTTAGAAAAGTGTTACAACTGTGTTTACTACTATGTGGTTGGTTGTTGTTGTTATGTGCCGTCAAGTCGCTTGTGACTCTTAGCAACCCTGTGTACAAGAGCTCTAAATGCTGTTCTATCCTGTACCAACCTAGCCATCTCAAATGCACTTATTCCCACTGCTCCAGTCACAGAATCGATCCATCTTATAGAAGGTCTTCCTCTCCTTCGCGACCCCTCCACTCTGCCAAACATGATGTCCCTCCCCAAGCACCAGTCCCTCCTTGCAACATGCCCAAAATATGTCAGACGAAGCTTCAGAATCCTTGACTCCAAGGAGCATTTCGGCTTCACCTTCTCCAGGACAAACCTGTTTGTTCTCCTAGCAGTCCATGGTATATTCAACACTCTTCTTCAGCACCACAGCTCAAAGGCATCAATTCTCTTTCTATCAACCCTATTCACTGTCCAACTCTCTGATGCATAGCACATAATTACGAAGACTATAGCCCGGATCAGGCACACCTTAGTCTCCAGCCTGATGTCATTGCTCTTCAGTACTCTTGAGAGGTCCCTCACAGTCGACTTTCCCAATGCAATTCGCCTCTTGATTTCCTGGCTGCAGGTACCAAGAGCGTTGATTGTGGAGCCAAGTAAACTAAAACTGTTAACTATCTCAATCTCTTCACCATCCATACTGATGCTGTGGTTATATATGTGAATATATTTGCAGCACACACAAACATATATGTGTGTGTGTCTGTCTATCTCTATGGGTGTGTGTGTGGATACCTATACATATACTTAAACGTGGCTTTACATGTGATTTACAGCTTCTGGAAACCTGCTGTAGGGTCTGCTATAAGTCAATTCTAACTCCACAATACACATCTAAGAAGGAGTTCAGATGGCCCAATTCATAAGAAGTTACACTGCTAACACAAAGGTTGCTCCTCTCTGGCGGTTCGGCCCACCACTGGTTCTAAAGGGAAAAGACAGGCACTGTCTTTCCTTATGATTTGCAGTCCAGGAAACCTAATGGAGAATTAGCTTTGAATCAGTTTTGACTTGTTGGCAATTAATTTTTTTAATGAGATAAAACTAAGATGACTGAGCATAATCCATAGCGAGTCACACAGCTAAACAATAGTCTGCGTTTCTCTGGCAGTTGGAATCCATGAGGGGCTCAGCATTTCAGGAGGAAGATGGTCAATCTCTTCTTATCATGATTTTTAGAACCCTAAAAACCTGATTGAAGTGTCATTGTAAGTTGAAATAGGCCTGACAACAGTGGGTAAATTAGAAAACTAAGGATGTAGAGATCATTCATTCAGGAGTAATAAATTGTGTAGAGGAGCGAACATGGAAATTATTTTTTGAAGTGGCAACTGATTCTCTGTGACCTAATATTCTATCAATCTCATGCTGCTGGGTAGGAACCAGTCTACAGTGACCCTCCTTGGGGTTTCTGAGTCTATAAATCACACAGGAAGAGATTGCCCACCGTATGTCCTTGGAGCTGCTGGTGGACCTTAGGTCAGCCTCTCAGCTCCCCGTGAACAGGGTCACCAGAGCCCCTTCTGTATTTTATAAGTATCTCCAATTGTTTTAAAGGCATTTTCACACCTAGACTTTACCACTGGCTGTCTATACCTAGTTTCTTTCCCACCTATTGCCTCATCACATTTTCTAATTCTGTAAGGATAAAAAGAGTTAAAATATTTGAATTTAAATGATAAATAGTAGTATAAGATATTTGCTGTAGACAGTAATAAAGATAGAGAAGAGATTGTAGACGATATCCTTCTTGTTATCTGACACCCCTTCTCTTATAAACAGGGAAAGTAAAGCATGTGACATATTTCTTTTACTTATTATGTTCTTTTCTCAGTCAGTTCAGGATTCAAAAGGCCCTATTTTTCACTAATTTTCTTTAAACTAAATTGAGTATTTCTTATCTAATCCTTCAACCTGAATGAATTCTTTTTTGACTAGGCATATAGATCTATAGACACAGTGTTGCCTATTTACAATGAAATTATGGTTCATTAATTTCCTTTCTTTTACAGTACGGAGAACTAAGTCATGCTTGTGCTGGATACTTAACCCACAAATACCAGAATCCATGGTAAGCACATATTAACGTACTTTATATAAGTGAATTTCTTTTCCTCAATTAGTAACTTCTGTTCATTATTCTTCTAAATTTTAAAATATTAGGTCACTTTATTTCCTCTATTTTATGTATATTATTTTCATAAAAATGTGTGGTTTTGTCCTTAATAAATACTTCAAAATTTTTCATTCTCTGTTAGGTTTCATTAACGAGGGAAAGATGTAAACCAAGTACATTTAGAGTAAGAAACAGAATGTAATTGGGAAGAAAGATAATCAAGTCTACAACTATTAAGAATAGCAACTGAATGAGAGGATTAGAATAAAGTATATAAACCATTCTCTTTGGAAAAATAATATTATTTTTCTTAAAAAAGAAACTAATTTCATGCTGTTGACTTAGAAACCATCATAATGGGTAATTGGGGTTAATAAGCGTAATCCTGCTGAAGTCATGTAATGACTTGAATTCACACAATTTTAAGGCAGCCCTCAAATGAAATGAAACATATCTCACTGAAGATATGTGAAATTACTGGGAAAAGAGCATAAATGAGGCTTGTCTTCTGGATATAATGTGGAGTTCAGTTTCTAAGAGACAGAGGATCAATCAGTATGGCTTTGATAGGAAAGCAGCTTCAAAGTTGTTTGTATTTATATATTTTTGGGTGTAGATATCTGGTGTTTACTTCATCTCATTTTCAATTGTTGGAAGATATATACATGAATATATGCATAAACATATACATACATAAACATAGATGCATGAAAACAAAGTTATTGGATTTTAGTCTTGGTCTACTATACAGCATCAATCTAAAGCACTTCAAATAGATGAAAATAAGCCTCATGTCAAAAGATTACTAGTTACTACAACACATGTCCAGGAAAATAAATAACCTTATTGGGCAATTCTTATAACTTATAAAGCACATCCCATTTTAAAATCCATAAGGAAATAGTTAAACTTTAGTGCTTGAAAAGCACATGTTCTCATTAAAATATTCCACTTCATTTGGCCATAAAATATTGCCCCAGTGCAGGAATAAATCTAGTTTTGTAGAGGCATCTTTTTAAAACAAAGGAAAAATATTGGAGGACATATAAAATCAAGAAAATGTCAAAAATTTTGTTTTTCAAACCTTCGAGCCTTCTCATTATCATTGTTCCATGCACTGCTTTTACAGCTATGCTTTATGCCCTAAAAGGGCAGTTTACGTTTTTTCAAAGAAAGAAAGGACACACTGAAAGAGAAACGAAATTTCTCTCAAATCTACGGAATAAAGATATTGAAACAAGTGAAAAACGTTTGACAGACATTGTTGTTATATATATTGAAATTGATGGCATAATTTTTTTTAAAAAATGGGCACAGTATATGAACAGACACTTCACCAAAGAAGACATTAAGATGGCCAACCAACACATAAAGAAATGTTCACAATCCTGGAAGACATTAAAAACTTGGCAAGGAAAGAGCTACCTCTTCAAAGCAGAGTCTGCCCCAGTGACATAGATGGAGTAAAGATTTCACGCAGTGAAGGACCTTCACTTGCTGATGTGGAGAGATGCAAAATGAGGAGAAACAGCCTCAGACATCAATATATAGCTGGAATGTGGAATGCACAAAGTAGGAATCTAGAAAATTAGAAATTGTCAAAAAGTAAATGGCATGGATTAAGATTGATATAAAAAATGAAGTGAAATGCATAAAGATCCTAGGCACTAGTAAGCTGAGATGGACTGATAGTGGCCATTTTGAATTGGAAAGTCATATAACCTACTTTTCCAGGAATGGTAAAATAAAAATAGTGTCCCATTCAGCATCAAAAACAACACTTTGACATCTGTTCTAAAGTATAATTCTGTCAATGATAGGATAATTTCCATACACATGCAAAGACTTGTTCATGCAACTGTTTTTCAAATATGCACACCTGCCACTAAAGTCAAAGGTGAAGAAACAGGATTTCTACCGATTTTTTTTACTGTCTGAAATTTACTGTCTCCTATGCATCTGAAACTTAGGCAATGAATAAGGAAGACTGAAGAAGAATTGATGTCTTCGAATTGTGGTGTTACAAATAGTATTGACTACCTCATGGACAGCAGAAAGAACCAAACACTCTCTGTCTTGGAAGGAGTGTAATCAGTGTGCTCTTGAAAGGCGAGGATAATGAGCTTGTTGTCTCACATGCGTTGGGTGTGTAGTCAGAGAGGCAGTCATTAGAAAAAGATGCCAGGGTGGAAGAGGAAGACCCCAAATGAGATGGATTGACACAGTGAATGCAATTAGTTCACAAAAATGTGAATGCACACTAGGACCAGTGATGACTCTATAGACAATGTACCAAGACATTATTCTTAAATACAGATTTAATAATGGTGGAGGTTATGAGGATGGTGTGGGATAGGGAAATTTTTTTAATATTATTCATAGGGTCCCTATGAGTTATAGCTGAGACTTGACAGCACCTAAAAACAACTTGATAGAAATGTCATTGATTACTTGCATTTACAGGGAATAAGCAATATATTATTACAGGTTTTCTCTTCTCCATTTATCATGGTGCTGTCAATTGACCCCAGTAGTGAGAATCCTTGTCTTCTTGATGTTAAGCTTCAAATCATATTGAAGACTGTAATCTTTGATCTTCTGGAGCAAACACTTCAGGTCCTTCTCTGTTTCAGAAAAAACAAAGCAAAACAACAAACTTATGAGAAAGACGTCTTGCTGGAAAGATCATCTCAGATGTTAACACATTGTTGTTATATGCCTTCGAGTCCACTGCAACTCAGAGCAACACTATGCTCAATCCCTCCGAATCTTTCCCTATCCTGAGTCAAATTCACTGTCTCTGACGCACTTCCACTCGTTACCCTAGTTACTGGGTCAATCCATCTCATCCAGGATCTTCCTCTCCCATTCTGACCTTCCACCCTTCCCAGAATGATGTTCTTCTCCAAGGATGGTTCCCTCCTGGCATCATGCTCAAAATATGTCAATCAGATTTAAAAATTCTCCAAGGAACAATTTGATTTCATGCTTTCCAGGGCAGATCTATTTTTTCTCTTGGCAGTTCACAATATGTTTAGTACTCTTCTCCAGCACAACTCAAAGGCATTGATTCTTCTTCTGTTATCCTTAGTCATTGTCCAGCGCTCTGATGCATAGCAAGTAATTGAAAAGACCATGGCCTGTATCAGGTGCCCTCAGGCTCTAGAATGACATCATAGATTTTCAGCACTCTGGCGAAGTCCCTGACAGCAGATTTTCCTAATACTATTCATCTTTAAATTTCCTAATTTCTGATGCCAAGAGATTTTCTCTTCTCCATTTATCATGGTGCTGTCAATTGACCCCAGTGGTGAGAATCCTTGTCTTCTTGATGTTAAGCTTCAAATCATGTTGAAGATTGTAATCTTTGATCTTTTGGAGCAAATACTTCAGATCCTTCTCTGTTTCAGCAAGTAAGGTTGTGTCATCTTTATGATGTAGGTTGGGTTTTTTTGTTTAATTTTGAATTTTATTTTATTAATTTTAATGAACATTTACAGAGATTTTGGATTTTCATTCATTCATTGTTGCACTTTCTTCTTTACCCCCCCCCTTCAGTTCTCTCCTTTCTTTGAAAAGCAAAGGACAAACTTCTTCGTTGGTATACAATCCCTGCTACCCCATCCCCGACCCTGCCCCCCCCAAATGCACTCCACTATGCAACCTTAATTCTGGATTCCTGTGATAATCATAATATGCTATCATATATCACTTTTAAACTGTTCTCTCCCTCATCTGTTTCAATTCAGTATACATAATCTATCCAGTTTTTCTCAGTTTTACCCCAACCCTCATGTCAGTCACTTTCTACAACAGTGGCACCATGCAGTATTTATCCTTTTGTGACTGAGATATTTTACTCAGCATAATGTCATCCAGGGTCACACATTTTGAATAATATTGCATGAGTTCCTTGTTTTTCAATGCAGCGTAGTATTCCATTGTGTGAATATACCACAGCTTCTCTATCCATTCGTTTGTT